TTGTTACATTCCATCCAAGCTAAAAATTGAGAAGCAGCGACAGTCGGTTTAGAAACAACCTGATTAAGATGTTGGTTTGGTTTAAATACAACAGGTTGTTTGTTTTCGAGGTGAAATGACAACCTTTCGACAGGAGGTGTTCGATAATGAATATCATACGCAAAAAGCCTCCAACATGCCTCACATGCGGAAATATAACGACAGTTATAGAACTCACCAATTTCGTCATCGTCGTTATTTTGTATTTGTTGTTTTTTCTTTTTTGTTGGATCAACAATAGATGTTGTTATCCTATCCGGTCCTTTGTTAATATACTTAAAAAGATACTTTATCGATCCAACTTGGTTACACCACTCTACATTCATGTGAGCTTGATATTGTTTCATAAGGATCTTATTATATGGAACAACATTCCTGAAAAATCAAGAAAATTTTCATAAACAACATTAAATGATAATTTGAAGTTAACATAGGAAGAACATAAGAAAACATATATAATGAGTAATATGTTTTTATATATTACATTATCCGTTTAAAAATAAAATATTAGTACCATTTTAATTTAAGTTGTTTATTGATATTTATGTATTTAAACATATAATAATATATTTCATAAAAAGAAAAAAATTTTAAGGAATTAAAATTTATTAAATCATTCAAAAGGATTTGTGTATACCTGTTGTCTAAAGAAACACCTTTTTTAAGGACATTATTTCCATCGTTACGTCTCCGGTAAATAGGATAACCATCTTCATCAATATACGTATGATCGGTATATTCCCTTGGAAATCTTTTTGAACATTTGCCTTTTTTCATACACGGCATAAATGGTTGATCGTTGCCACAAGGTCCGTGTATCATGTTATCACAAACAATCTGATACAAATCGGGTTCATTATCCTTGTCTGGCAATTCAGCACATATAACACGGTCTATGTCTTCAGGATTTGGAATTTTAGAATTTTTTTTCCAAAAACAGACATACATGACAATGTGGCAGGCCCCTCTTTTGAAACTCAATCGTATATACAACTGTGTGAGCAAAGAAAGCAAGCAGGGTTAAAAGATAAAATTATCAAAAAGTTATAATGTTAATGAGTAAAAAATATATAAGATTGATACCTCCAGCGACTTCACCCAAAGTTTTTTCATCCTTCAATTGACTGATTAATGAATCAAGTTTAATTTTGAAAATTCGTGTCAGAATATCTGGCCTGTCTTCTGGTTTAAGATTCTCGGCTTCAACAAATCTAATGACTTCTGGCCATTTAGGATTACATGTAAGGGTTAAAAAAAGATCTGGATAACCAAACCACTTAACCAGAGTCATCGCATCTAAGTAGTTTTGTTGCATGTAACGGCTGCCGCCAGTAAAAGAAGATGGTATAATAATACGGTTTCCAATAAAAGAAGCATCTTCAATGCCATCTTCAGCTGCCTGGGCCAAGTTGCGATAAGGTGCCACGCGTAAGGTTGGCTGGTTAAACCTAATATAACTAAGTCGTTCATTTTCAACCATTGTATACGAATCAACCAAAAACTGTTGGAATAGTTTTCTTGAACGTAATATCAATGATATTTCATCGGTTCTCTGTTGTATACGATAAGCAAAAAACTCTCGCATGGTCAACCTTATTTGTCCATCAGATTCTGGATCTTCAACACCACGATGTAGTATATCGACTCGAAATCCATCTTCGGCATAAGGGAATAATAAAGGATATTGAAGTGCAAGATACTGAGGATGCAACTCATTAATACGTTGAAGTTATCGACTTTGCGTTTCCAATACGATATCCCTTGAATCATACCCATCAATGTCACCTATAATGAGGGCAGCTACCTCATTTGTGGTAGGAAGATTATACTGCCTATCATCATTTTCTCTTGACCCAATCAATTTCAACCTAATACGCTCTGTTGGATTTGAACCAAAGCGATCACGTGCCATTCTAAATTGTTTAACCAGTGGATTAATGAAATCCAATAAGCCCATCAACTCGTGAATAGTCCAGAACTCAAGAGAAAACGGATTTGCCATGGACTCATTAGATGTGGTCTTTTTTCTTCTTATTAGACCTATAATAATATAATCAAAAAAAGAATGGATATAAATTTTTTGTAGTAATATATATATATATATATATATAATATATATATATATATATATATAATGGAGTTATATAATATAGGGTATTCACACACTCGCATGATTTGAATCTGTTTTGAACCTCATGATCTGTATCATATATGTACAATTGACAAAATCTGGGTGATTCACCATCTTGGGGAAGTAAGCTGCCTGCAATATGATAATTTTGGCCATGCATTCGATAAACATAAGGACCACCTCCTGAGTTAACGGTGTGATCAATCTTTCCAGCCATAGATGTGAATGCGAACATCATATTGTATCGACGTATATTCTGTATAAAGTTTTGACTTTTTTCCGAAAGACCGCTATATAAATCAATCAACAACTGAGGTGGGTGAATCAGACTGGGTAGTTCAACTTTTCCATTGTAACAACAAATGGAATAACATGTTTTCTTTAAATCCTTATTTCCTCGAATTGCTTCTCCCTGCCACACCTTAGCTTTACATACTGAGCAAACATATACAGCATCTCCAGAATCCAAATAATCTATAAATAAATAAACAAATTTACGAAATTATATCTGTGGTATGCTATAAATGTAATAGGGGAACGACATTTTAGTTGTCATGACAAATAATTTGTGGTGTGGATATAATACCTTTTCTTATTCCGATATATTTAGAATGATTGTTACCGGTTACATCATTCTGAGCATTTGAAGTAGAAGGAATACATATTTGTGTCTTCTTTTTTGTTGAAATCGGTCTGCCTCTTTTTTTCTTTTCTTTATAGTTAATGTTGGGACCAACTGAAAAATGTGTAACTGTATGTATGAATAAAATATATAATAAGACAACTGAATAATGAAGTTGATCATTATTAATAGATAAACGATCAAGTTGAACAATATGGGTACCTGAAGGTTCAACGAAATCTTCATTCAACTCAAATAATGGAATATCTTGTGTATTAAATCGTTTCGATTTCGTTGTTGTTGAATGAGTTGTGTTGTGCTGAATTGTATCTTGGTTGTTAGAAAAGTTTGGAGGTAATTCGGTAAAGTTTTGAGCAACTCGACAATTAGGGGGTACGAAGAAACTATTTTCTGAAAAATGAAAATTTGGATGATAATATAGCAAAATATATAAATAAAATATATTAATTTAATACACATAAACAAATAAAAAAAATACAATACAAAAGAGACATAACATATAAGAAAATGTACCTTTCTGAGAATTTCTTTGTATTGTTTGAAATGATGGTGTTTTGAAAGCATTCGATAAAGAGGGTGAATGAACTAAAGAGGAAAAGTATATATAAAACATAAAATTAAATAAGATAATAAAGGAAAAATGTAGTTACCGAAATTAGATATTATAGACCTATATGTATTAAAAAAGATCGTTATACAAATTAGATATTATAGACATATATGTATTAAAAATTAAATGTTAAAAGTTTATATATTGAGAAGTTAAAATTGACGTTATATGATTTAAGAAGTGTATGTAAATATAATATAAAAGAAATTAAGAATACTTTACCTTGATTTGTTAGGTGTGAAAGTTGCGTTCTTGGGGAAATAAATGTGGATTGAACATTCGGTCGTATGATGTTATGAGACGGGGTAGCCTTAGATAATTCGGAAAGGTTTCGAGCAACTCGACAATTAGGTGGTATGAAAAAATTATTTTCTGAAATGAAGATTCGTATCATAAACGGAGGAGAAATATTAAAAAAATATTAATAGTACAATAGATAAACAAATATAAAAACAAAAGTGTAATATAAAAGATGCATAACATATAAGAAAATGTACCTTTGTGGGATATTGTTTGTAATGTTGAATGTGATGATGGTTTTAGAGCATTGGATGAAGATGATGCATTCATTAAAGAGAGAATGGTATGTATATCAAAAACTCAAATGAAATATAAAGAGAAATGAGTTATACAAATTGAACATTATAAACACTCAAGCACTTCAAATATAAACAGAATGCTTAAATATGAATCTTACCATTTGTGATGCAGACAGTGGTGTTGTTGGGGAAGTGTTGTTGGGTGACACATTAGTAACAAACCTTGTAGGTTTTTTCTTTCTGGAAGCATTTGAAATGTTAGTCATTTCAATATGTTTGATAATTTTTAGGTTCTTAGACATATATATATATATATATATATATATATATATATATATATATATATATATATATATATATATATATAGAGTGATGATGATGATTTCTAACACTTTAAATAAGGGAACTGGATATTTCAAAAGATTTAAATTTGGTAAAAAATAAATATTGCATATAGTTAAATAAAGTAATGAAATATTAGTTGGGTTTAACTTAGGTAAAAAAATAAAGTCTTCATATAATTATGGAGGGAATAAATGCATTATAGAAAAATTGATTTTGTTTACATATTCCATGATTTTATTCTGTTACCATATGAAAACGATGAATATTTATACAAATAAAGTTTAAATTTGACTTTAACAAATAAAAGTAGGTGAAATATCATATATAATAAATATATATATAATATATATATATATATATATATATATATATATATTAGGTAACTGAATATCACAAGGCTTTAAATTTGGTAAAAAATAAAGCATGAATATAATTATGGTAGGAATAAATAAAATATAGATGACATGTATTTTGAATACTTAGACTATGATTTTATTCTGTTACCATATGTAAACGATGTATATTTATGCAAATAAAATTTAAATTCCATTTAGAATATAAAGTAAGTGCATTAGCATATATAAAGAAATTCTTAATTTTCGTGTGTCTATATATATATATATATATATATATATATATATATATATATATATATATATATATATATATATATATATATAATCAAATGATGAATGAAAGAAAAAATAAAGAAAATACGCATTAAATCAAAATAGTTCAATAACTTGAAATTGTCATGACCTCCAATTGTATCATTGTGTACACACCAAATTAAAACTCAATACAATTTTAAAAACAACCAAAGATCAATAAACTGAGAATTAAAAATGCGACACACAAAAGATTAAAAAGAAAATGTCTATAAACATATCGAAGATGATATGTAAAATTTTGATGGGTGGCTTGATATTAGTCCAACTTTTCCAACTTTGGGATCTTCAAGGTATCCCGTACAACAGAAGTTTTTGAAGAAGACCACTCCAAAGACTCATTGTTGGCATCAATCTCAATAGGGCGCTTCCCCGTACTCGATGATGGTGTTACAGCTTCAAGGTCAACAACATCAAGATTGTCATCATGCACATAATTGGTATTTTCCTGTAGATAACAGAAAATAATAAATATCGATAAAGAAAAATATAAAACAAAACATACCATATTTGCATAAAGTTATGAAAAATGAAAGAAAAATATATTGAAGAGAGGGCACAGGGTTTGACTTTGGAAATATATGAGACAGTTACCAACCTTATTTAGCTTGTTAACAGGAGTACCATTATCATTTATATGATCATGTTGATGATTTGATGACCTTTTTGTCACCTCATCAAGAACCCTTTCATCATCGGTTAACTTATGCACAGTGTAAGCCCTAGTTGTTCTGCAGATTGAACATGGAAATCTGAACTTTGAAGACAAACTTCTTATTTAGAAGAATTTTGAACTCATCAGGTATCTGTTGTCAGCCTTGATCCTAATTTACATTATAAAATGTTTGGAAAAGTTAAAGAATAAAAATCATATATGTCAATCATTTAAATAACGGAGATATTTTATGAAACCTTAGCTATTTTGTCCATCAACCATTGGTTTCCACGATGAATAAGATCTTTTACATGACGCTCAAACAATACAAACGAAGAAGAGCCACTTTCATCTTGCACACGAACTACTATCCTAATCCTAAAAATTATAACATAGTACTTATATTTAGCTTGACATACACAATGAAATATATTAAAATTGTAAAATACATGCGTAGTCTTCGAGATAATAATTACTTACTTTCCAAATACATCCGAGACAAATCCACAACCATCACAGTGAAAAGGGCCAGCATCAACATCATCATGATTTTTAGTAACTTTTTTAGAACAATCACGGCAATAAAATGAATACCAACCATCATCCATATCAAAACCAATAATAGTAGCGATAATGGTTAAACCAACTTCCTGTTTCATATATAAGAGAAAAAAGGAATCATATTAAAATATTATTTCATATAAATTGTAGATATAAAATCAAAACAATAATAGAATGCGGAAACTGTTATATAAAAATGTTAAGTAAACCTCATTAAAATCAGGAATTTCATCAATGTTTTTTATCTCAAAACGGAGGTAGTAATCCTCTGGATTAGCCACAACGGTATCTGAGTTGAGCTGGGATGTACGGCTAGAAGACTCAACATTTGTATCCAAAGCATTAATTCTACATAAACAAATAGTGAAGTTATTCAACAAAAGTAATGATTTAGTAAGATAAATGTGTTAAAAATGTTAAATAACATACTTTGATTTGAACTCCAAAATCTGAGGCATATCATCATTTATATGCAATCTAGACCCAAACAAACAATTACCAATTTGAGGCTGACCTGCAAGAAAAAAGAAAATTAATATTGTCAGTAATTACTTTGAAGTTGAAATGATAATTTGTTGTAAAAACACTTACCCCCCCAAATTTTGAGTTTGGCCAAACATAGCAGGATAATAACAGGAGCAGTGTCATTATTATGTTGTGAAATGTAAGTATTCAACTTCATTGCAAAACTGCCCCACAAAGCGACTGCAATTCTCGTACCACTAAATATGCATGGTGGTTATTAATGAAAGATAAATATAAACGGGGAATGTGTAATAATAATACGAATGTGTACCTTAAATCCTGAGCAACCAGATTCATTAACCTTTTCTCTCTTCCATACTCAACAATGACTCGCATGGGATCACTTGACACAACTTCACCTAGAAAATCTATGTGAAAAAATTTAATAAATTAGTAATAATAACCCAAATGTGTATTACATTAAAAATTGAAGTATAGAAATAAGTTAAACTAACAACATAACATACCAAATGCAACACGAGTGTCAAAGTTCCTGGCTAGCAAATCTGGGAAAGAGATAAAATGATAAGGATCTACTGTATCAACAAAATCATTGGATACACGAACTTTCGTGGTTTTGTAGAAATTGATTTTATGTTTATGAGGTACAAGCATGTATTCGCTTTGATTGCTAGCCATAGCGAAGTTACTGATCTCCCGGATAGCTCCTTCATCGAATAGGGATTCAAATACTGGAATAAGATTTTTTTTTATTGTAGCTTGAATTCTACTTCCCTGTAGGTGACAATGAAAGATAAAAAAGTGCAAAAAATGTTTAAAAAACGGAACAATAACAGATTTCATTACATAGACTAAACTTTATTATTAAAAATAATAAAGTTGTTTATTAAAATTGTATGAAAAGAAGTAAAAAAGTATAACATCTCTCGAATTTCAACTTTTTTTGAATAGAGATAACATAAAAATTGATAATTTTAAAAAACAAATGGTGTAAAAACAGTACCTCCTGGTCGATTAAAATCATGTCCAGGCTTGTGACCATATTAGGATTGTTTACATAGGTCGGCTTCCAAAGCATGACGACTTTAACACGTATGTTCCAAGACTCTTTAGATGCGTTGATTTCAGCAACCTTATCAAAGACGACCTGATCTGCATTGTTAGATGCCATGGAATACTATTATCTGCAATGGAAGGGGATAATTGTTTAGAGAGAATTTTGATTTGTAATGAAAAATCGTAGACAGTATATTTATAGGGAAAAAAATTGGTTAATGCTGATATCACATAA